GGGGGGGGGGGAGTTGAAATAGATCTAAAAACCTCTTCCCTTTCTAATGGGCTTCAATTTTCCTTTAGAAACTGGGTTTTTTTTTCCCGGAAAACAAGTCTGATGAAAATCTTTTTGTTTTTTCACGTTTACAGCGTTCCTTCACCTAACATAAACTCAGGGCATTTCTTGCCCAGGTGCATCTTTCCCGAACATCAAAGTTAGTTCCATTTCTTCTTAGTAACTCGCAAATTTTAATCCGTTGAATCCGCTACGTTTAATCAGATGTAACTGATCCTGAAGAAATCTAAAATATTATTTCGTTTTTGTCACAAATTCAATCATTTGTTTTTTCACTCACTTATTTATCATAAAATTTAAAAGTCAGCTTTAACCGCTACTATTACCAAAGCAAATAGTATTTGCTATTTTATACGTATTTTAACTGCTTAAATATTATAAAAAGGTGAAGCTATCGTAAAATGTTAGTCTAAAAATTGCCCACTAAAATTCAGAGAAATGCGTATCATAGTAAAGCTTAAGACTGTTTGAAGACACTTCAGTCTTGACTGCTTGACTGCAATGCCGCGACATTCCAACTGTTTTTAATTCTAACAGCAATCGACGGTCAACCTATAGGTTAGTTACTTTAAAGCAATTTAGTTTGCAGCTAAAGCAAACTTTCCCTAATTACGTATGAAGTACTTACTCTTAATTTAAAGAAAAAAAAGCTTGAAAAGCTCTTGCATCTAGCTTAAAAAACGTTAAAGGCTACTGACTTTAGCAAATTACCCAATCATCGCAGTAACTGACACCTTACAAATGACTTATTCACCAAGCTAAAGGCTCGATTTGAACGGCCGAAATCCTCCCGAAAGATCTAAAATGAGCAACTACTACTGACTAACTATTACATTAAGCAATCAAATGATGGAGTTTCAAGCTTGGTCAGTGTTGAATCTAGTTCTTCAAGCTGAGTGTTTTTCCTCCTCAAACTCATTGAAAGACTGCAATTCAGCTACCCACGTATCACCAACATCAGTTGGATTAACCTGTGAGCTCCTCTTTGCGGAGTTTCCATTGTTTGTAGATGGGAAAACCCTGGTCACCTTCCTTTTGAATCGCTCTCTAATCTGCAGATAGACAAGCAAAGTGAACAAATAACGGCACCGATAGACATGGAAAGTAAGAAAATGAACCACTCTCACGGTATATTCAGGTTTAAAACCTCATTATATACACCATATGTATAATTAAACTTACCTGACTGTTT